CTAACTAAAAATAACTAACACGCGTTACTTTATATTGATAACACAATAACTTACATTTCTCATTATCTTATCAAACCATTTAGCAGGAACCAAAAACGGTAAATCGCTATTAATAGAAGACGGGGCGCTATCTTGGATCGTACAAAATGCCAAAACAGAAACCTCAGCCACGAGGCGACATATTGAACTAGCACTCTGCTATTTGGGGAAGCACGGTAAATGTGTACATATCATAACTACTTAAACCCACGGAAACATGGCATTGTAACACAATATATCATTTGAGTTTGTATACGTAGAAGCGAATGCGAAAGAGATGGTGAAGGAAGGAGCACTGTGGGAGCTGGTGAGGATTTCAAGAGATTTTTCAAGCGAAGACATAAGAAGTCTTGCTCATAAGACTCTTACTTCAAATCTCAGCTTCCTCACTGAACTAAAAGGTTATTCTTTTCGATGAGAAAACAAACAAAAAGCTGAATAATGCTTTTGGACGACTTTGATTGCATAATATGTTTTATTGTATGTGACCAGAGGCAGAGGCAGAGGCACATCAACAATACGTTGTGGAAGCCGATGTCCTTACCTCCTTGCTAATGCTTCTGAGTAATACGAGAGATGAGAACCTTCACAAATTTGCTGCTAGTGCAATATCCATCCTTGCAATGAACAGTAACATATACATGACGAATTTGAATTATTATTTTTTTGAAGTTTTTCATCTCATATTTGTTACCAAAATAGTTTCTATTTACGTTTATTTTCAGTAACCAACCAGGAGCTGATCACGGATCAAGGAGGTATCGGATTATTGTCATCAACAGCAGCCACTGCTAAAGATCCTCAGACCCTCAAGATGGTTGCTATAGCAATTGCAAATCTTTGTGGAAAAGGTAATTTCGATTCATCTCTCTTTTTCTTTTCTTCATAGTGAAAAATAATCTGAAAAGCTATTCATTTGGTTAAACCCTGTCCTTCAAAACACTATTGATTTTCCGCATCACACAGATAAATTACAAACAAAACTACTATCAGAAGGCGGGATTGCAGCTTTGTTGGGAATGGTTAAATGTGGAAATCTTGAGGTTCAAGCACAAGTTGCTCGTGGAATCGCAAACTTTGCGTTTTGCGAGACAAGAGCATTGAACCAAGGTAAAAAAAAATGGTAAAAAAACCTTATTTATTAACCAATTTTTGTTTTGTTGTAACCGGGATAGTTCATAATGACCTCCTAGGTCTCTAGAAAATATGTATTTTTGGCACTTAAGGTATCTATAGTGGCAAAGACAGATTGACTGTTCTCTTACTTGGTTAGCTAAATGTTGTTGGTTTTTCTCCTAGTGGAGAAACCAATTGGTTTAGAAAGAACCAAACTTGGATCTATTATGATCCATGAGGTTGTTATTGGCTAAGGCTTATGATGGATATTACCCTAAACCTAATTTTGGTGTAGAGAGAAACTAAGAAAATACCTCATGGCACTTAAGGTATCTACAGTGGCAAAGACCGATTGACTATTCTCTTACTTGGTTAGCTAAATGCACCATTTTACAGGAACTAAAATAGATAAATCAATCTTATTAAAAGACGATTTGCTCTCCTGGATTGTACACAACGCAAAAACCGCGTGCTCAACAATCGGACAGTATATGGAACTAGCTCTCTGCCACTTTGCACAACACGGTAAGTGTGTGCTAATAATTCATACATACTAATTAAAACGCGGAATCATGGCATTGTAACACAAGTTTTGAGTGTTGCAGAAGGGAATGCGAAGGAGATGGTGAAGGAAGGAGCAATATGGGAGCTAGTGAAGATCTCAAGAGACGGCTCGAGAGAAGACATAAGAAGTCTTGCTCATAGGACTCTCACTTCAAGTCCCACTTTTCTCACTGAGCTCAGACGTCTTCATGTTAATCCCTGGTAATTAAGTGTATTCTATCTAACCTAACCTTACCGAATTGTAGAAAAAAAAGACGGTTAAAAACAATGTTTTCATATTATAAAAAAAAAAAAAATGTTTTCATATTATATAGGTATTTTCATGGCTTTAGGTTGAATGTTTTGCGTATATAGACGTAATAGTGAAAAATGAAATAACTTTGAGATAAAAAAAATTTCCATATACGTAAGGCAATTTATAGTTCCCATATATATGATTCGAGCAAATTGATCAAACTTTGAA